AATCAAAGGAGTTGGGTGTGAGCACTTTTTAAAAGCTCCTTAGGTGATTCAAAGAGCAGCCAGGCTAAGAACCACTGGTTTCCTCCTCCACCCGCTCTGTTCCACTCAGTCTAAACCTTTCCCTCTTCCTCCCCACCCAGCACCCAAGGCTATCTCCCTGACCCACACCCATGTCTAGCTCCAAGAATAGATATTGCCTCTTGGACATTTACATGTCCAAAGACAACCTGTCCTAAACCAGGCTTGGCAACAATTTGGCTTATGCATCAGTAAAAAATGTGGGGATGTACACCTCAGAATGTGTATTAAAAATAAACCATAAATATATAATATGTTAGGCCCACCATTAAATGTCTATAAAATAGAAGTATGAGACTAAAAAGGAATATAAATACAAGTTCTAATATTTTCTCTCCACGTCCTATGGATGACCTCTGTGCTTTTGCACATGCTGGTCCCTTTTCCTAGAATTCCCTTCCCTTGTCTTTCTATGAACCTCCATTCATCCTTCAAGACCCAGTATGTATAACTCCTCTGAGACTCCACCACAGACACTTCCCACCTCCAATGGTGCCCCCAGGAGGCTCTCTATAGGCCTCTGTCTTTTCTCTACAGGCCTCTGTCTTTGCACCTGCCATACTATATTAAGGCATGCGGATGTCTCTCTCCCCTGGGGGCTCAGGAAAACATCAAGAGCAGCACCCAGCATAGGACCTGGCTCATGATAGGTTTGCAATAAATGTGTGTTGGATGATAAAGTGAGCAAAGAGGAGGTGGTCAAAATATCTAACCATCAGGGTAGCAGCAAAGGGTGGGGGGGGGGGGGTGGAGGGGGTGGGGGGAGTGGAGAGGAGGTTCTGGAGGGTCCCCATTAGAAGAGTGTTGACATTTCAGCGGCTGGTTTAGGGGAAGCCCGGGGTCCAGGTCAGCACTCCGGTTTGGCCACACCACTGCATTCTGGCCGCACTTTAGTGCCAATGGCAAATTCCCAGAGGCCTGGCTGTCCCAGGACTCGGGGACTATTTAAAATTGTCTGGAGAGCAGTACCTCCATTTAGGCCGCAGAGAGAACTCCAGCCGCCCCCGTGGGGACGGAGGGGTCGACCCCGTGCAAGATCTCTCCCTTCGTCTCACTGTCTGGAAGGCCAGGCCTGGCCAGGAACCCTGAGGCCACTGGCACTCCTCAAAGCACATTGCACGTTGGGGCCCCTGGGGCGCCGGCCTGGGAGACCTCCCCCAGGAGGCCGAGGGTGATGAACAGGGCTCGGCCTGTCTCTGTCCGTCTCGTCTGTCCCGGTGGGGCTGTCACGCACTGGACTCCCCACGGAGAGCAGCCAGCGCAGCTGCGGAGGCAAGGGCAGCGGGAGGACAGAAGCCACATCCAGCCCTCCCACCCCCAGCCCTGCTCCGCAGGAGGAACCTGCAGAGGTAGTAGAGGGCTCACGCAGGGCTTAGCCACCTGCTCACCTCCGGAGCAGGGGCACGGCGCTCTGGCCAGGAGCAGGGCTGGGCCAAGAGCTGCCTTTTCAGCGCGTTAGGTGCTCCGCCCCATTGTCTGGCAACATCTGGAGACATCTCCAGTTGTTTCAACTAGGAGCGGAGGGTGCTATCGGCACCAGCATCAGACAAACACACGAGCAGAACATCCCTCCCGCGTGGTCAGCCACTGTGAGGAGGTGACACTGTAACACCCGGAGCTCCCAGTTCACAGAGCTGCCGCCGTGACGTCTGCTTCCACCTTGCCCTGGACCCCTGCAATCTGGCTGTGAGTCTTTGGGTCCTGTAGCCACAACAGACTCTGCAGTGATGCGAGCTGACTCCCATGAACCGTGTGCACTGGAAACACAGGGACCCCATCTTCAGGTGTCCACGCCTCGTCTAGGGAGGGAGGGAGTGGGTGCTGGCAGGGGGTGGGTGCTGAATACATATGTGCTGGCCTCTAGACCGTGGGGAACACAGAGGGCCCCATGGGGCATGCGGAGTGTGAACTGTAATCAGGCAGAGGGTGTGTGGGAGACTCCCCTTGAGCCTATGACTCCGGGCTTGCGCCCCAGGCCTTGGGGAGGCACACTGGAGACTTCCAATGACAGCCCCGCAGGGCTTTCCACCAAACTTCTTGTTTACAAATTTGCAAGCCTACAGAAAAGTTACAAGAATTAGTACAATGCACACGCATGTGCCCTTCACCTGGATCCACCACTTTGGCCCCCTCTCTCTGTACGCATACGTGCACACTACAGCTCAGGTCAAGATCTCACGGTTCGTGGGTTCAAGCCCCGCGTCGGGCTCTGTGCTCACAGCTCACAGCCTGAAGCCTGCTCCCGGATTCTGTGTCTCCCTCTCTCTCTGCTCCCCCTCCCTGCTCATGCTCTGATTCTCTCTCACAAATAAATAAATATTAAAAAAAAAAAAAAAAAAAGAAGAAGAAGAACCCAGGCCAGTCGTCTTGTAGGACGTCCCTCGATTTGGGTCTGTCTGCTGTTTCCACGTGATTAAATTGACGGTAAGTGTTTTTAGCAGGCGTAGCACGGACGACATGCTGTGTCCTTGTCGGAGCAGCCCTCCAGGCCGAGTGAGTGAGATGTCTAGTTTCCCACTATTGGTGGCCTTACTTTCGATCCCACAAGAGGTCACAGAGGAGAGAACTTTGCAGAAAGGCCTGCATCCTGTCCCTTCCCGGCAGGCTGGCCACACGGGAGACCTCCCCATGGGCGTGGGGTGGTGGTACAGTCTGAGGCTCTAAGGGAATGAAGAAAGAGGATGAGTGGCCAGAACTGCTTCCCGGGGCTCCAAACCGCGCTCCCAGAGCCCCGTGATTCCGGGGAGGGCATGGTGCTCGCTCTCGGGGGTGGGCGGGGGGCGGGGGAGGGGGGCAGGCTTTTCAAAGAGCACCAAAGAACAATGCCATCATCCGCCATCCAAGAAGCCACCCCTGGTGATATTTATGACCCTGTGACTCGCAAAGGACTTTCCCATTCATTTCCCATGGCATCGGAGAGCACCTGCCACACTGTGTGAAAAGCATCGTGTGAAAGCCTTAGAGTCATTCAGACCTAACCACCCTGGGAGGCTGCTGGCACACCACTGTGTGGGTGGGAGAATGGAGTCACAGAGTGGTGAAGCCGCTTGCCCAAGTACACCCAGGTGGCAGCTCTCAGGACCCGTCCCCTTTGAACTTCTGGGCCGAGGCGCTAAGCACCCGGGTGCTGTGCTGTGAGCATGAGAGCAGGTGGGAGCGGAGAGCAGGACAGACACGGAGGCACCCATTTGCAGACGGAGCCAACAAGGCCCGGACGGGCCGTGTGCACCAGCGAATCTGTGGGACTGGGACCGGCCCCAAGAACTCATGAGTCCTGGGCTGCTGGTGCCCTTGCCGCAACCTCAGGCTGGACGTGGGACCGAGGCCAAAGCTGCCAAAGGTGCTGTGACCATCTGCCCAGAGGGATGGGCACAGGGAAGGGCAATGACAGTGACTGTCTCTGCATAGCTCCCTCTCCTGTGCAGGGACAGCAGAGGCCACCGTGCCTGGAACAGGGACACCCTGACCCCAAACAGGACAATCTGAATCACCTCTGCCCCAAACCACACCACCACCACCCACCCCGCCTCCAGCCCTGCCAGCCCATGTAGCTGCTACGCCCTGCCTCTCCAGCTGGGGAGGGAACCATCCCAATTTGTCATCCCCATCTGTCATCCCCACTGGTCAGGTCACCCACATTTTAGGAGGAAGTGGCTAGCTTCTCTGGCAAACCCCTTTCCGGCCCGACAGACCTGAGCAGCCAGTTTCTTGAACCCTGGTCTCGGGATGAGCCCAGAATTCCAGCCTGTTGGTGGTCACAGGAAGTACCAGGTCAGGATGGGGATGTGGCCTGGAATCATCTGGATGGGGGGCAGGCGAGAGAAGAAAAGCCAGAGGTCAGAGAAGGAAAGGTCTACCTCCTGTGCACTCTGCAAATCCTAGACCGGTCTGCCTATTCCATGAAGCCCACCCTGATCACTGCAGTGCCCACCAGGCTCTCCTCAACTACACGGGAATGTCCTTGATTCTGCTTTAACTACCGGGGCAAGTCACCTCGTGCCTCCTCTCGCATAGTACAAACTAGGGGGTGTCTTTGTGAGGCTATTTGCACCTGATGCTGAGCTGTGTATGCAGTAGGTGCTCTGTACATGCTTGATTGCTGAATAAATTAAGCTCATTCATTCATTCACTCATTCAAAAACTCATTAATGAGCAACCGTCTTGGAGCCAGGCTGTCTTCTAGGGGCCCTTGCCCCTGGGGATTGACATTCTGGCCTAGGAACAGATACTGTGAGGCCAGTGCTAGGAAGAAAGGTCAGTGAATGAATGAATGAAGTGGAGACTGAGGATAGGAGGAAGTGGAAAGGGGCCCGGAGGACAGAGCTGCTGTCTTTCCGCCCCAGCCGCAGTGCCCCCATCACCCAGGGAGCATAGACACTCTGCAGAGAACCAGCCTCATCCGAGGTGGGGCAGCCTGCTGGCCTGGCCTTATCTTGGTAGCTGGAGAGAAAATGTTCTGGGAGGAGATTTTTTTTTTTCCTAGGTTTCTGAGAGCCATTCCACACACCCCCCCCCCACGCCCACCCCCGCCGGCCAGGGGCACCAGCAATAAAACTCCTGGCCATTCGGGGGAAACTGAGAGCTCAGTCCACCACCAAGACCAAGGGGGCAGGTGCTCTGGAAAGTGCGGCCGCATCAAAGTGCTGCTGAGGGGTCATGCCTGCAGGTCAGGGGCCTACAGGTCAGGGGCCAGGTGGGACTAGAGCCTGCGGAAGAATCTTCTCTTGCTTTCTCTATCTTCCTTCCTCCCTCCTTCCCTTTCTCCCCCTTTCCCGTCCTCTCTCTGTCCCTTCTCTCTCCCTCCCTCCCCCGCAATGTGACCTTCCCAGGCCACTTTGTTTACATCACGCTCCCAGCCCTCTCGCTCCCACTCTCCGTTTTCTTTTCCTGCACGCACCTGTCACCCTCACACCTGCCGTGTACTTCTCTATTGGTTTGCTTTTGTCAGGCAGCCCCTCCCCCCAGCAACTTCCATGTGGACAACGATTGACCTCCCAGCACCTAGAACAGTGCCTGGAACACAGCTGGTACTCAAAGAATATTCTTCTCCCCTTCTTTCATCCTTCTTCCTCTGCATCCTCACTGCGCTGTGGGAAGGGAAAAGGGTTGTACGTAAGACATATCCCTGGCTTACAGGAGCTCATGGCCCCCCGCCCCAGAAAATGGGTGACTCCAGAGGAAACTTGTGCCCCCACCGACTTCATCTCCAAACTTCCCCAGCCCTTGCCTCCTGCCCTCCGGTCTTCCTTTGCTGTGCACTTAGACGTCTTTCTCTGCAGCAGTGGGTGCACGTATCTGCAACCAAAGCCTCCTTCTGCCCTGCCCAGAGGAGGCAAGCAGCATGGAGTGGTGACATAGGACAGCCCCGAGTTTGAATCTCAACCCAGTTTCATCTGTAGGATGGAGCTCCGTTATCTACCTTGCAAGGGTTCCACTGAGAATTAGAGCACATCTAAAAGGTTTAGGGGCGCCTGGGTGGCTCAGTCGGTTGAGCATCCACCTTCGAATCAGGTCATGATCTCACCGTTCGTGAGTTCGAGTCCCACGTCAGGCTCCGTGCTGACAGCTCAGAGCCTGGAGCCTACTTCAGATTCTGTATCTCCCTCTCTCTCCGCCCCTCTCCTGCTTATGCTCTCTCTCTCTCTCTTTCAAAAATAAATAAACGTTAAAAAAAAAAGAAAGATGTCAAATAACAAGGATATGAGAAGATGTTTACAAAATATTAAGTGAATAAAGCAGCTATATGTCAATATTACAGTATGAATCTCTCCCTCTTTCTCTCATATTGGTGCTGCCTCTAGTGGAGGAATTACAGGTGGCTTTCTTGTTTTTTTCTTTGTGTTTTCTGTACTTTTTTTTGAATTTTGTTAATATTTATTTATTTTTGAGAGACAGAGGCAAAGCGTGAGTGGGTGAGGGGTGAAGAGAGAGGGAGACACAGAATCTGAAGCAGGCTCCAGGCTCTGAGCCATCAGCACAGAGCCCGATGCAGGGCTCCAACTCACGAGCCGTGAGATCATGACCTGAGCTGAAGTCACGCGCTCAACCGATTGACCCACCCAGGCGCCCCATGTGCTTTCCGTATTTTCTAAAATCTCTACAGTATACTTGTGTTACCTTTTTAAAGAAAAATTAGAAAATCACATTGATTTTGACAAAGTATGGACTAAGCATAGGTTTGACTTAAATTCTATGGTTTACTCATGTCAAGATCACACACATTGACCAACAGACCATTCCCGATCAAGCTTAACGAACTTGTGAAAAACTTAGCTGTTCTGATCATCTTTTACATATTTTTTCTTAATACCCTTTTTTCCTTTTTTTTATTAAAAAATTGTTTTAAGTTTACCTATTTTTGAGAGAGAGACAGAGCGCGAGCAGAGGAGGAGCAGAGAGAGAGGGAGACACAGAATCTGAGCTGTCAGCACAGAGCCCAACGCGGGGCTCGGATGCACAAACTTTGAGATCATGACCCGAAGCCAAAGTCTGACTCCTAACCAACAGAGCCACCCAGGCGCCCCATGCCCCCCGCTTTTTTTTTTTCGGGAATAATTTTAGCTTTACAGAAAAGCTGCAAAGATAGTACAGAGTTCCCCTATACCACGAACGCAGTTTCCCCTGCCAACGTCTTAACTACCCACAGTACATCCGTCACAACCACGAAACCCACATGGGCCCAATGCTATCAACTAAACTTCAGACTCTCTGAGGATTTCCCCATTTTTCCCATTAACGTCCTCTCTCTGTTCCAGGATACCTTCCGTGGTACCACACGCTCAGCACTGAGTTGTGACGGCTCTTCAGGCCTCTGTGGTGTAGGCCAGTTCTCAGACTTTCCTGGTTTTTCATGGACCCTACATGACTTCTGTGACCAGGAAAAAAAAACAACGGTGGTGATGGCGGTGATCACGATCACTATCTGGGAATTCCTCTCTGTTTCTCTTGGGGGCGGGGGAGGCAGATAATCCGGCTTTTTCTGTCTCGAGTCCCAGGACCAAAAGGGGAAAGGCACGCTGCGCGGTACCGATGGGATGCGCAGAGGTCGGGGCTCCTGGGCCCCTGGGCCCCTGCCCCCCGCCCCCGCCCCCTGCCGCTGTGCCCCCGGTCCCGACGCCGCCGGGAGCTGCGGGGGCTCCCGGGGGCAGGCGAGCCCCGAGCCCGAGGCTCCCCTTGCCGCTTGGGCGAGCGCGCGGGCGGCACCCGGGTCAGCTGCTCCGCCACCCCACGCGGCCGCCCCGCCCCTGCCCGGGTCTTATAAGCCTCTCCCTCCGCCTCCCGACGGCCGAACTGCCCGCTGCCCTCCCGGCCAGGCGCCCCCTGCAGCATGATCTGGAACACCAATCTGCGCTGGCGGCTGCCGGTCACCTGCCTGCTCCTGCAGGTGGCCCTGGTGGTCCTCTTCGGCGTGTTCGTGCGCTACGACCTCGATGCCGACCCCCACTGGATCGGCAGTCAGGGGGATGAGAACACCACCAGCGACATGGAGAACGAATTCTACTACCGCTACCCGAGTAAGTCCGGCCACCCCGCAGGCCCCCCAGAGGCGGACGGGCAGGTCCCCCACCCTGCTCAGAGCCCTGCCTGCCGCACCTGTGCAGCCTGCTGCTCGGGAACAGGGGGCAGGGGTCCTAGAGGAGGAGAAGCTGCCCGCAGCCCGCTGGCCCTCCCCACGCAGCCTCCCCACGCGGCACCTGCCAGCCCCTGGAGGGCACGCTTGACAAATGGCCACATGTGCACCAACTCTTCCCTGTGTTGAAGCGACAGGGAAAGCTCGCCAGGGTGAGCTCACTCCAGGTGCCATCAGAGGCCCCCAACCTCCCCATCAGAGAGCCTTACTTGTCCTTGAAAGACCCAAGTCCCATCTCAGTCACCAACCAGGGGGTGACCCTGGCTCCCTTGTCCAGCTGTGCCCGTACTGGCCACTTAAGGAGGCAGGTCCGATGTCAAGGGCTGCAGGGATGGCTCACTGACTTGCCAGTCCCGCTATGGGGAGAAGCATATGGGACCCAGCCACCTAACCCTCATCTGGCCTGGAAGGGAAGAAAGAACAGCCCTCATTCTCTGGTATCTGCAGTGCCGGGGTTAAGGGCGTGCCCTTGGAATCACCAGACCTCGCTCCTATCATGGTTCTGCCATTAACCAGGGGGATAAGCCTTAGGAAAACATCAACCTCCCTGAAACTCTGTCACATCTGTCCAGCCACATCTGTCCAGCGGGGGATAATAATAGCACCTCGCGTGCAGGCGTGGGGTGAAGCTGGGGTGAGACAGGGCACAGGAAGTTCTGGCACAGTGCTGGGCTGGGCATGGAACCCGCACTTCCTAATGAAGCAGTTACTGGAGGTGGACAAAACACAGATGCCCTAGGACTCAGGAGCTGGAAGAACTGGTCCAAGGTCACTCAGGTTGGTCCAACCTCCAGACCCCTCAGCCCGAGGCTCTTCCCATGCCCTTGCGTTTTCTGATTTTGGACACCAAATGACAACCATCCCAACGGTTGGTGCGCACAGAGTCACGGACTGTTAGTTTCCACGGGGACCATAAAGCTCACCCGCAACAGCCACCTAGGCCGGCTGGCGTTCCCTCCATGGCTTGAAAACCCTCAGCGATGGGAGTCTTTGCCTCCAGAAATAACATTTCACTTAGCTCCAAATAAATAACTGCATACACTGAGGATGACAGCCTGCATGAAAAAAGACAAGAGTAGGGGGGCGGGGGTGCCAACTCAGTAGGAGCCGGCCATATTAAATGGCTGCCAGAAAGCGAATGCCGTCACAGGTTACATTAATAGAAATACGGCGCTTAGCAGAAGGGAGGTTATGGAAGAGGAGTGTGCCCTGTGCTGGTCGAAACCACAGCCTCTACTGGGCTCCACTCAGAGTTGTATCTTAAGAGACCATGACAGCTGTGGCCTTAGAATTAAGACTCCAAATCCACTCTTCACTGCCCACCTTTACTCTCCTTGGACAGATCTGGCAAACGGAGAGGCAGGACAGCTTGAGATCCTCCTTTGCCTGTTCTACTTCACTCTGGCTCTTGCTTATCTCTCGGCCATAACCAACCCTTCAGCAAAGCACAGGGGACAAGTTCTCCCATGGGCATTCATAGGTCCTTGAGGGGTCCAGACAGTGGAAGGTCTCAAAGCCCTAAAATAGGAGCTACGGAGCCTCCCCAGAGAGGGTTGCGGTCCTCACATCTCCCCAGCTCCTATCCCCACTCCATCCACACCCACCTTCCATGCCCCACCGTCATCAATTCACCCAACAACCATTTATCCATAGGGTGGCCACGTAATTTGTCAACTAGTGACACTTATGAGAGTGAGGGAGTGGAGAGGTTGTGCTCATAGTAATTCACCAGACCAGAGACGTAAACCACAACCATCCCAACAGACCAAGACTCAAGGCCGTTGTGGATGAACAAGTTGCACATCCTTGCTTTCTGACCCCGAAGGGCTCCCAGACTCATGGAGGGCACCCCAGTGCCTTGTCCTCAGTGATGTCAGGCTCTCTGGGCAGAAGAGATCTGAGACAGCTTCCTGGAAGGTGGTGGGATGGTGAGGAGGGGTGAGGCAGGGCAGCTACGCCAGGAGCAGGTGAGTGGTGCAGAGTGGCCCAGCGGTAGGGTTTGTGAAAGGGTAGGAGGGAAGCTGCTAAGGGGGATGAGACAGCCCCAGCCACCAAGGAGGGCTTGAGTTTCTCCTGCTAGTTCCCCTTGGCCATCAACAGGCAGTGACAGAGAGGAGAGGAGTAGAGGGAGAGATGGCCGGCCTCCGGACTCCAGTCACAACAGCTCAAGCCACCAGACGTGCGTTCCCTCCTTTGACTTGCCCCCCCCCCCAACCCTGCCAGGAAGGCGCTGTTGGGACTCCCATGTTACAGACAAGGAGACTAAGGCCAGAGAGGGGGTGACTAGGAAACCAGAGGGCCAGGGCAGGAGCCCTGGACATCCAGGCCCGTGCTCCTGGACCACTCCCCTTCCTTCAGGTTCGCCTTTCCCTTTTCCCCCTCCCCAGCCCTTCTCAGCTCCACTGGGTCACGGTGGCCGTGGTTCGGAGTTAGAGGGCACGTGGCCTCCTGGTTCAGGTGGGACCCCAGTGTGGCAGTTCCCAGGGGCAGAGGGTGAGGGCACACCCTTGTGGTACCTTCTGGGCTGTTGGCTCCAAGCTGTCAACATAATGGGCCTCATTCAGGCCCAGGGGATTAGTGGAGCCTGCTGGGCATCTCGGGTTTCCAGTGCAGTCCAGATCCAGCCGGCTCGGGCTGGGGCTCAGGAGGGCCCAAGGGCTGCTCCCCACACACAGGCCCCTCGGCAGGCCGCAGGCACAGAGCCAGCTGGAGACTTGCCCCAGCAGTGCCCTCGGAGGCCAGCGCTACAGGCACCTGCTGCCGAACACGAAACTTCCCCGTGGGCTGGTGCTCTGGGGCCCGAGAGGCCGTTGGCAGGGTCTGGGGGAGGTTAGGCCCCCGGAGCCATCAGAGCCTGGGTTCCTGAAGCGTCCCGGGAAGACTGAAGGGGGAGCAGGACACATGTTCAGAGATTTGGCCAAGGAATAATTTCAACTATTAGAGCATTTAAATTCCTCTGTTCTCTCCCCACTTACGAGTGCTTTTCACACGCTGTGTCAGGCAGGGCATTTCTGTCCCTCTTGTGGTGCAGGGAGTGGACGGTAGACATTTGCCCAACACTCTCGGGGTGGCGTCCGTGACCCAGGCAGGGACCAGCTGAGCCCTCCCACCAGCAGCCCAGCTGCTTTCCCCGGGGCCTCTCGGCCCCATTGCCAGGAAACCGTGCAGTGACGGGGTGGTTCTGTGGTCGGCTCTGAGGTGTCAGGGAGGTGGGCACGGAGACTTGGGCAAGTGAGGGACTGGCCAGGAGGTCTCAAAGAAAAGTCTGGGCCAGACTGGCCTACAATGAATGGGAAAAGGGCAGCCCCGGGTTGTTGCACCAGGCGGGGCACCACCCTTTCTGTGCTGGTGCAGCAGAGCGGAAGAAGCCGCTGAGGCCCAGGGCGAGGGAAACTCTGGCCTCAGATTTCAGAGATTTCAGGGACTAGGCCCCCCCCCCCCCGGGGGCGCCCGGCCCCCCCCCCATCCTGGGGGTGAGGGAGAGCGGGCTAGGAGGGGGGTGAAGGGGAGAGTGGGGTACTGCTGCCCCCTTGTGGCAGCTCTTGTGGCTGGCACGCCAGCGGGAGTCTTCCGCTGAGAGACCAGACTCTGGGCCAGCGAGACTGCTTGCGTCGCCCCATGCTGGGGAAAGAGGGGGGAAGGGCGGGCATCTCTCCAACTTCCACTGTCCCACAGCAAGTTGCCAACTCAGTGCAAAACAGCTGGACAATCTTGAAGGAGACAAAGGGAAATTGTAGCTGATATTACCCATCAGTTGCTAAAGAGCCAGGCCTGTGCCCCAGGATTGGATGAAGTCATTAAATGTGCACCGTAAACCTCTGGGGTGAACACCACCTGAGCCCCTGTATTACCCTCCCCCCTCCCCCCCCCCCCCCCACTTTACAGAAAAAGAAACTGCAGATCAGAGGGATTATGTCCTTCCTGAAGGTCACACGATTGGGACTTTCAAACCATTACTGGTAAAAGCGTTTTAGGAACTAGCACCAAACTTTATGAAACGTAAACTATTCAACTGTTTTATGTCTGGATTCTAAATTAGGACCAGTTTGGGAGATAAAGAGAAAGGGAGCGAGAGAATGAATGCGGAGGTGCCCAAGGAGAGGAGAAGGTGGCATCCGTGTGCCTGAGGTGGGGGGAGAAGAAAGAGACACCGAGAAAGAGAAGGTCGAAGAGAGAGGTTGGGACACCGGAGGAGTCACAGAGGACAGAGAACTGGCGAGAGGGGGCAGGCAGGGATGATGCACGGAGAGGGGAGGGCCTCAGGGAGAATGAAGGCAGCCCCGAAATTGCAGTACCCCCCAGGAGGGCCCCCCCATACCCCACCCCCTGTCCCTGCCCACAGGGTTCCTTTCTGCCACCAAACTGCCTCTTCTGAAAAGGCCCCCACCCTCTGTGACGCTGCCTCTTCCCAGGGATTCCTCCCACCACCCCCGCCAGCGCCTTCCCTGTCCCGTCTGCTAGCCTCAAAGGCAGGCCAGTTCTCAGCTTCTGTCTCCCCGTCATCGTGCCCACATTCTGACTCACATCTCCATCTGCGGGCCTGCCCAGTCTCACATCCCCGCTCTACCCCGCACAGCACAGCCAGGCTCCGTTCCTCCCACCTGCCCTGTCGACCCTCACGATCCACCACCGCCCCCCCCCCCCCACATCCCCGTGGTCATCTTCAACTCCAAGGACACCAGACCCAGCCCCTCCCTCCCACTCCACAACTGCCTCCGATCCCCTGTGTCTTGCAGCAGAAGCCCTGCCCTCCTGCCAGCTCCCCTCCCCGGCTGCTGCTGGAACTGAGGTCTGTGAGTGTCCCCTCCCTCTTTCACACCTCTCCTCCAGTCTGCCACCCATCCGTTCTCCCCAAGAATAACCATAATGCTACGTATGGCACTTCACGCGCATTAGCTCAGATTCCCCCACGACAGTTGGAAACGTGATAAACCATGAAATGCGATAATACACGCAATCAGCTGCACACATCGTGAAACCGACACCAAGCTGCTGTTTGTTCGCGCAAATTCGCACAGGTCTCCAGGCAGGAGCTCAGAGGGCCATGCTGGGGTGAGACCCACAGCTCTCTTACATCAGCTTGCACGCCCCCTGCCCCGGGCCTGCCCTGCGGGCGTGCAGGGCCTCCTCCCTCAGCCGCTAGCCAAGGGGGCTGTGGCCATGGCCTGGGCCACAGGAAGGCCTGCGGGGGGGGGGGGGGGCTCCCCAGACACGGTCAGAGGTACTGGGGACCAGCAGGGTGAACAAAACCTACCGAGAGGTTTACAGTCGAGTGGGCTAGACAAACACACCGTTCTGCAAACTGTAATAAGAACCAGAAAGGAAAGAAGAGGGAGAGAACCCACTTCAAACCGGGTGGTCTGGAAAGCCTCTGTGATGAGGCAACATTTCGTTGAGATCTGCAGGAAGAGATTCTGGCCTTTTTGTGGGAACAGCATCCCAGGGGGAGGGAAGGACACAGGCAGAGACCCCGGAATAGGACTGAGGAACACGGAGGCAGGTGCAGCTGACGTGTGGGGGGAGGGGGGAGGAATGAGGAAGGAATGAAGGGGGCCGGCCAGTGGGGCCTGCAGGTCCCCCCCACCGCCTTTTTTTTAAACGTTTTACTTGGGAATAATTTCAATTTATAAAATGTTGCTAAAACAGAAACAGCACAAAGAACACTGTATACTTTTAACTCCGATTCAGCTCCCTGCTCCTTCTCTCCCTCTCTGCACAGAGACGCAAACACATACACTCTTCTTCTCCGAATCTTCTGAGGGTGGGTCAGACACATCATGGCCCTGTCACCCTAAAGATTCCGGGATGTTTCCCGAGAATGGGGGTATTCTCTGCAACCACAGTAATCAATTTCATAAATGTACATTGTGCAATACCTTAATATTCAGTTTCTATCGAATTTTATCAATCTAATTTTCTAATTAGTCTCTAACTTTGTCAATAACAACCTCTATAGCTCTCCTCCCACTCGCCCCCCCCTCCCCCCACTGCCTGCCCCCCTGCCCCCGCCAGGCAAATCCAGGATCCAGTCCTGAGTTAGGTATTGAATGCAGTAGACCTATTTCTCTTTATCCTTTTTTAACCTGGAACATTTCTGCGGCCTTTCTTTGTCTTTTATGACATTGATATTGCTCAGGACTCCAGCCTCACCCCCGTTTCTAACAGCATGTTACTCATTTTCTGTTTGTCTGATGCTTCCTCACGAGTAGAATGGGATTATGCCTTCTGGGCTGGAATACCATACCGGTGATGTGTCTCCTTCAGGGTGTCACATCTGAAGGCGTGTGCTATCCATCTGTCCCTTATTGGCGATGTTAATTTTGATCATTCAGTGAAGACCTTGCCCCATTTCTCCACTTCATAATTACTGGGTTTTGTTTGGTTGTCTTCTTTTTCTACCTTGTAACTTGTAAGCAGTCCATGGGGAGACTCTTGAAGACAATGCAAATGTTCTGCTCTTCATCAAAATTTCTCCCTGGATTTAGCACCCACTGATGGAATCTTTACTGTGAAAATCACGATTTTCCGACTTCAGCACTCATTCTACATTTAACCGTCTGGCCCTCGGCGTTCTGGTACAAGCAAGAGCCCTCCTCACGATCTCATTTACTTCCGACTTTGAGTTACTGTTTTTGTCATGGTTTTAATTCATTCCAGTACCTAATTATTTTGATGCTCAAACTGCCCGATTTGGCCACCAGGAACCCTTCAGCCTGGCTCCTCTTGTGTTCTGTGACACCTATAATTCCTTTTAGCGTCTTATTTTTTGTGACTATCTTTGCTTCCCCTCTGTCCTTTTCTGGGAATCTAGAATCGGGCAACGTTAGCCCTGGAAGGACAGTTAAGATCATTCTAATCCATCCTTTGGTTTTATGGAGGAAACTGAGGCTGAAGGGAAGTGGCTTGTCAGGACCACACTGTGAGCTGATGAAAGAGTTGGTTCAGAACTCAGAATTAGCCTATGCCTAAGTAACAATAAATAATGACACTTGTCCATTTTGAGCACCTATTATGGGACCGACACTGTTAGGTACTTTACATACATATCCGCATTTAATCTCTGCAGCATTTGTGACTAAGCATTCCAGAAGGCGCTGAGACCCAAGTGTGTTACCTGACTCTCCAGAGTCATCTGTCTACCAGATGGAGGAAACGGGTCCAAATTCAGGTCTCAGTGATTCAGGAAAGGGTACTTGCTGGAGGTGGAGGTGGGATGTGACCTTCACGGGAGTGATCAACTCATGTGCTTCACCAGTCAAGATGAGACTAACTTCTCCGTACTAAAGTGATGCAGTTGAGGGGGCAGAGCGCAGAAAGTCTGGATTCTGGACCCTAGATTCTACGTGTAATCCACAGCCTGGCCCCCATTTCAAATGCCCAGCTGCCCACCTCCACCCAGGGTGTGGATGGAAACAGGAAGCTGCCATCTCCTGAGGGGACACCCAGGCCTTCCTTGGCCTTAGAACGAGTGGTCTCAAGTGGGAGGCTCACCCTGGTTTCCCCCCAGCCCAGCCCCCTCCAGAGGTTCTTAGGACAAGATGGGGGGGGTGGGGGGGGGTTAGCGGCTGTTGTATGCACAGGAAAGTCATTCATTACTGCGCCTGGCCCCAGGATCCGGATGCAGACATGGGAGGAGGGGGCTTGGAAGGCTACTGGGTGGCCAGTGGCCCGGAAGACACAGGTTCTGCGTGGGGCTTTGCTGGCCCAGACCCAGGGCTAGGGCGGGCTAAGCGACCGAGCCCCCCGGCTGCACTCTCCCCGCAGGCTTCCAGGACGTGCACGTGATGATCTTCGTGGGCTTCGGCTTCCTCATGACCTTCCTGCAGCGCTACGGTTACAGCTCGGTGGGCTTCAATTTCCTGCTGGCGGCCTTTGGCATCCAGTGGGCGCTGCTCATGCAGGGCTGGTTCCACTCCTACAAGGAAGGCTACATCCGCTTGGGCGTGGAGAAGTGAGCGCGGGGCGGGCCCGGAGGGCAAGGGGCGGGGCCGGGGCGGGCTCTGCAGGGATGGGGGCGGGCCCCGGGGACGAGGGGCGGGGCCCTAGGAAAGGGGGCGGGCCCGGAGGCGGGGCCCGGGGTGAGGGGCTGGCCCGGGGGCGGGGATCACAGGGCGAGAGGGCGGGTATGCAAAAGAACATTCGTCAGCCCGCGGGAAGGCCAAATCCACAGAAAGGGTTCAGAGGCAAACGGCCATAAAACCACGTTTAACGTGCAAGCCCCTGCTGTCACATATAGGGCACCAACCGGGGATCATAGGCCAGGTGTCTGAAACTTAAAACATGCCAAATACTTGCAAGATGATTAATTCACTGAAGCCAGTTAATGAATCCACGACTTTAGAGAAACTGGAAAAATAGTTGACTAGATAGAACATGGTCGGAGCCAAGAAATTAGTCTTTTGTATAAAATCTTTGACAAGAAAGTCTCACTCCCAAAGCCCTAGATCCAAAGTATGAAAACACCTGTAATATATTTCATTGGCCACCACAGCCAAAGAGCTATGGCTGAATGAAAAACAAAAGTATACAACTTTTTAAAAATCTCCAAAGAGAATTATTATGGACTTCGCGAGTCGGCAAGTTTTGGGTGAACCAGTGATTGGGTGAGTTGGTCACTTGACAAATTGAGTGTCGGCAAATTGGCTTTCAGGGGATTGATTTTCAGCAACTGAGCTGGAGCCCATTTTTGGTGCTCAGGACTGGATGCTCATGTTGTCCCTAGACCCTCCTCCTGGCTCCTGTGCCTACTTGAAGAGTCCCACCTGTCACTCTAGGGTCATGGCTCCCCTCCAGGCTCTGCCCAGAACTCCGTGGGCCGTCCTAAGAAGTGACATCCGAACTTCCATCTCCCGGCAGCCGGAGGCCCAACGTCAGATGGGTCTTCTGGCTGCAGTTGTGGGAACATCAGCAAATAACTCGGCCTCTCTAAGCCTCCATGTTTCATCTATATGATGTGGCCAATAACAGTACCTGTGTGGCACAGGAGGACATATGCTGTACCAGGCAGCTATTTCTGTGCCTGGCACTTAGTAACTGTCATGATTCATTCAGCCGGGCCCTATGTGAGGCCCTGGGGACACAGCCGTGAACAAGGCTCGTAGTGAAGCAGACGCTCCAGTGAACATCCTCTGTCTTGGGAGGGACCTGACAGAATGGCCCCCATTCCACTCCCTGGCCCTGCAGTCAGCTGGTCTCTTACTTCTCACCTCCTGATGCTCACACACACACACACCTGAGCGTGGGGCAGGGGCACTTCCTCTGGCTGCGAATGGCTTGCGGGTCTAGCCTCTACCGTCCCTACCCCCACCCCTATTAACAACTCCCCTGACTCTGCCTCACACTCCAGGACAGCTTTGCCACTGGCCCCGGCCCAGGAAGGCCTGGGTTAGGGGGCACGTGGATGGAACCAGGGTCTCCTTTGGCCGCACAGCATCTACCTGGCTGTCTGCTTCTCCATCGGCCTTCTGCTGACCGGCTAGGCTTTCAGGGTCCAGACTTAAGAAGGACCTAGGTGCTTCTCTGCTTCTGTTCTCTCTGTTGGCCTTCCTGCCCCCTCCATCCAGCCCCCAGCTCCCTACGTCCTGCAGGAAGCCCTCTCTCTCTTCCCTGGGCACAGATCCTCTCTCTCGGGTAAGGACACGAGAGCTCAAACCCAAGCAGAGCCCTGGTAACTAACAGAAGAGGTGTGTTTAGAGTGAGATCTAAGAGTCTGGAGACAGAGACCACATGTGAGTGGAGGAATCAAGGAAGGCTTCCTGAAAGAGGAGGCAGTCAGAAGAGGTTCTGGAAGGGCAGGTAGAGGACGGAGGGCAGGGCGCGGCTCCAAATATGCAGCATGTTCAACAACAGCCGCCAGATGACTTGGGTGCCTTGAGCACAAAGTTGCCTGCAAGGAGGGGGTGCTGAGATGGGGTCACGAAGGAAGGGCATGGCCTCTGGTATGTGCCGTTGCCTTGCTGGACCCTTCACCTGTTATTTTTTTTCATTCTTAGAGTACCTTTAGGATGTTATGTGCCCTTGCGACATCATGAAACGGAGGCTCAGCAAGGTTAAGCCACAAGTCCAAATCCATAGATGACCAAAGTCTAAATTCAAACCCAGGGCTTGGAGCGCAGCTTTTTGCTGCTGCCTCAGCCCCTCCCCTGACCCATCTCCCCACAGCCTCATCAATGCGGACTTCTGCGTGGGCTCTGTCTGTGTGGCCTTTGGGGCGGTTCTGGGCAAAGTCAGCCCTGTCCAGCTACTCATCATGACCCTCTTCCAAGTGACCCTCTTCTCAGTGAATGAGTTTATCCTCCTCAGCCTGCTAGAGGTGAGCAGGGATCAGAACGGGGGTGGAGATGGAAGGGCCACTTGGGGCGACAGCAGGGAAATAGAGAAAGGGAGGGCTGGGGAGATATGCCAGCTGGATTCGCTTCAATGTTGGCAAGTCACTTAACCTTCTGAATGTCAGTTTCCTCGTCTCTAAAGTGAGAGTAATGATATTTACTGGGCAGAGCAGGGGCCCCTCATGTTGCTTGTCTCCCTCCTTTCTCTTTCCTGCATATTGGGTGGAAAGAGTGGGTGTTCCTGAACACAGTCTTTTTTTTTTTTTAACACTTATTTGAGAGAGAGAGAGAGAACAGCATGAGCTGACACTGCAGAGCGTGATACAGGGCTCAGTCCCACGAACTGTGAGATCATGACCTGAGCCAAAATCAAGAATCAGATATTTAGCCGACTGAGCCACCCAGGCACCCCCCTGAACATACTCTTACACACACACACACACACACACACACACACACACACACACACCACATTCGCAGATTGGTCTCCCAAGAAAAAGACACAGTACAGTGTATTGAGGGCTACACATATGTAAGGAAGGAGCCTTAGGGAATATCCAAGGTGGACATGTATCGCTGCATAGGTTGTGCACTGCATGACTCTAGAAGTGACAGTCACATGGATTCTGGCAGGAATCATGCCCCTTAAAGTTGGCCAATTCAATGAACCAAGTAAGGGGTACCTTAGACCTCTGACTCTAGCTCAGATACTTCTTGGTACCTTTGCAGGGGTGAAGGCCATTCAGAGACTTCATCCATTTCTTAGCCCCCAACTCCTCTACATTTGGACTCTGCCTGGAACACCCCCACCCCGAAAAAGGGTAGAGTTTCTTTGCTTTTGTTTTTTTTACGTTACACTCCACCCAGTCATTCATTTTGTCATTTTCTTCAGCCACCAGACTGACCCAGGCCGCCATATCTCTACCTCTTAATCACCTCCTTATCTTCATCCTTGCCCCACTCACCACCACAGGCCAATCCCCACCAGCAGCCATGGAGACCTGTTAGTAATGCGTATGAGACCAATTCCCCTGATTAAAACCCTCCAGTAGCTTTTAAAATTTCACTTCAGGGGCGCCTGGGTGGCGCAGTCGGTTAAGCGTCCGACTTCAGCCAGGTCACGATCTCGCGAGATCTCGCGTGATCTCGCGTGAGTTCGAGCCCCGCGTCGGGCTCTGGGCTGATGGCTCGGAGCCTGGAGCCTGTTTCCGATTCTGTGTCTCCCTCTCTCTCTGCCCCTCGCCCGTTCATGCTCTGTCTCTCTCTGTCCCAAAAATAAATAAACGTTGAAAAAAAATTAAAAAAAAAAAAATAAAATAAAATAAAATTTCACTTCAAATAAAATCCACATTTGTTATAAAGCCCTACATGTTCTGCCCCCAGCCTCTCTCTCCAAGCTTATAACCTACTCTCTCCCCATCCTTCTGTGCTTTGGCCATACCCTCCTGTCTGTTCCTCAACACAGCAAGCTTGGTTCCCCCTCGGGGCTTTCGCTCTTGCCTGGAATGCTCATCCCCCAGTCATTTTCATCACTGAGGTCTCATCTGGAATATCACCTCTTCAGAGAGGCCCTCCCAGATTCTCCCCCGTACACAGTGTTGCCCTCTAGCTTACCCCCCTACTCCACCCCTAGTCACTGTCTCACGTTGATCTGGTTTATTTTCTTCATAACATTTCTCCTTCTCTGATAAACCTTATCTGTCTGGACCATCCGTGTCCCCAGCATCTAGTTCAATGCCTAATAAGTGCTCAACAAATGTTTACCAAGTAAATACCAAGACTCCGAGTCTGACTGCATGTCAGGCAATGCTCCGGGCATTCTCACTCAGACCCCGAGGAGCTCACAATCTAGTGAGGGAACCAGGAAGTACACAGTTACCATGCAGTGTGATGAGAAGTGAGGTCAAGGGCTTGGTGACATGAAGGAGGGTGCCTGAGCCAGCATGGCAGGTCAGGGAGGCTTCCTGGAGGAAGAGACGTCAAAGCTAGAAGTCAAGGAAGAAACAACCAGGCAAAGGGGTGAGGCAGAGGAAACAATGCAAAGGCCTTGAGGGAGGCCCACAGTGAGCGGTCTCTGGTGGCTCCATCTGGTGGAAGGAGGGTGTGCTGGGGGAGGGCTTGGGGGGGTAATGGTAGAGGAAGGGGGGCAGAACACGGATCATAAAGGCTCCTGGAGATGGTGTTGAAGAGTCACGAGGGCAACTTTGTCATGACGGCAGTGGGGAGCTATGGAGAGTTTCAGATGGGGGAGTGGCACGGCCAGACACACGTAATAGAAATGCCACTTCGGCTCTGGTGAGGACAATGGCTGGGATCAGGGAGCCCTGTCCAAGAGGCTGTCCAAGTCGCCCTGGTAAGAGATAATGGGACTGGGACTGGGGGTAGTACCAAGAGAAGGAAGTGATTCAACAGATAGAGAGGAGGGGAATA